TAAATACATGTTTTCTAGATTAAAACCCTAATATAAATATTATTCATCTCTTGTCTCTGGTTGTCACGGACGCTCATGATAAGAACTCCTATGCCGTTCCACAAAAGCATATTGCTATTACTACTTTATCTGACAGCAGTACTTCATAGAAAGTCTTCCTCATGCAGGCCCATATGAGTCAAAAAGAAAGTGACCCGAATTAATGATTTTCTTTCATAAAAAAAATCAAATTTGATACACCAATGAATTATATCTTAAAAGAGCATGTTTTTCCACTCATCTCAAAAAAATAATTACTGAAATTGATCCATGCTATCAGAGGCTATGCATGTTTTACTGGCATACCATGGACAGCTATAAAAAATGGGCCCTTTTATAAAGGGCCCATTTTTTATAGCTGTCCATGGTATGCCATTGGAAGCTATTGAGCTGAGTGAGAATTACAGATTACACAGTCAAACATTTTAAATACAAATGAGACTTTATCACTTAAATCAAGACTGAATCATCACTTTTACTGTCAGATTTTGTGTTTTTAAGTTTAGGAACAAGTCATCTGTTTTTTCTGAAATATTAAGGGCGATTTTGGGACAATTTTGTATGTTTTCCTTTTCCAGTTCTCGTTCATTTATCGAGGTGGGAAAACGTCCATGTTTCATAGTACTCGATGGGTATTCATTCCTAGAACGGCAAGTGATCAGTGGTGGACAGCCGAGTTTCGTGAGCTTCATATTAACATAGCCGTAACTTGGAAATAGAGTATGCAAATTACGTGAAATGTTCACAGTTACTACTCAATAACATGTACTTTATGTCTTGTGGTTTTTTTTTAAGAAATGGAGCAAGCAACATATTTTTAAATATTCTTTTTTTCTAAATCGGTCACTTTTTTGACTCACCATGTATACTGTGATATATATGACTAAATTTTTCGAGTATCGTTTTTGCATCGGAGAGTTAAAGGTAATAGACAACATTTGCAAACATCAAAACAAAACTATTACAGTATTATGAAATACCTTACTCCACTGTGGGTGAATAATAGTCTCAAGCATTCTGTCAAATCATGGCACCTGGTGCGTTGTCATTTTCAAGAAAATTTGAATAGTTGTATCAATTTCCAACGATGGTCGGCCGACCATCGTGGGAATTTTTTTCCTCTTCAAACACTTCCCCTAATTCACCAATTTTAGTTAGTCCACATTTTGTTTGCAATCGGTTATATATCCATACACGGTTGCAAGTCAGCTGGTTTGGCTCCCTGACCTGACAATGCCCCGACGTCTGTATATTGCTCTGTTTTGTCTGAAGGTACGGTCAGGGCACCAGATTACAAGAACAGCATTTTTTCTTGGTTTTTCCAGCATCTATATGAACACAAAACTTTAAACATGTCAGTGTAACAATGTTTGCTATAAAACACTAACCCAAAATCCACCAAAAGTCACAATGATGTTGGATGTAAGTATAGTCTTACATTATAGCTATTACAGAAACTATCAACAAAATGATAATTAGGCCCCTAGGCCTAATTAGTAAAATATATTGTCATTAATTGTGATGGCAATTTATTAGATGCTCATTAACTGGTTGTCACTGTGGCTTTTGTTATTCATACCCAGAAAGAAATTATGAATAGCAAGGCATAAATATCATACGTTAAATGGAAATAAAATAACCTACATGTATTGCTAATGGAAATATACTGAATTATGAAGTAGGCCTATGCCATCGACCCTGGAGAATCTTCGTATGGCATAGTGGATATAAAGGAAAACCGTATGGTGTTTTTAATTGCATTGTCAAATACATGTAGCTTATATTGAAGCAACACAATGTATCTATAATGACAGCATGGACCTTGGAGCTAGCAGAAATTATTGCCCATCAACATGGTAAGCAAAAGTTAGCCTAGGCTTTTTTGCTAGGATGTAACCTCAATCCTTCAAAATCCTCCAATTGGCCTCATAATAGCATATAGCCTCAATCCTGCAAATTCCTCCATTGTTTCTTGAATATGGTCCGTGGAGGGTTGACCACTGCCTGAATCCTGCAAAATCCTGCGGCAGTGAATGTCAATATGTTGAGGCTTGGCCAGTGACATCCTGGAGCAGTATGCAGAATTTCAAGCATAATCCATTAATGCATGGCTGAGCAAAACTTTGGCAAAGAGGATTTTGAAGGATTCAGGGCGGTAAGGGTTGAAAGATCACGAGGAATAGACAAAGTTATTGAGGAAAAAATCCCCGCGCTCATCATAAATGGTCTGTACATCTCCTTTGCAATTGACCCAAAGAGACTATTATTTGAACGACATCTTAATTCTTTTATATATTGTAGTCTTGTTTTACTGATTTATTTGATTCTTAGAATGAATGTAATATAAGTAACATGGTAAAGAAGCAGGAGTCGGCCCTAAAAGAACAGAAGACAGTTTCATTTAGAATAAAAAAAGGAAATTCCTCAGGCTTTTTTCAATTAATACACTCTTAACTTTAATAATCGATTCAGAGTTTGTTTGTTTGGGGTTTGTTTTGGGTTTTTTTTTTTTTTTGGGGGGGGGGGGGATTTAGTGTCTTTCCATAAGTTTAGGTTCAATTTTTTTCGTTTCCCTGTTACATCTGATATATAGGATTTTGTAAATTCAGTACGCATTCTTTAATGCCTTCTATCTTTAAAAGTGATTATGCAAAGTAAAGAACCTGTCAAACGAATAAATATTAATAATAGTTTGAAGTCAACAGGGACACAGTGTATAAACAGAGACAAAAAAAATGACACACTTTTGGATCCCAAATGTATGGAATGACCCACCGATCTTTCCCCTGTTTTGAAAATGCAGGCAGAAATCGCCACTGGCATATCATACTTTTTAAATTTAAAACGAGTGATTGTTGCATTGCGTTCGGTATGAGTATCATGTGAAAACCAATTACGACGAAATGCGAACGGGTGTTAAGACATACAAATGTGATGTTATTAATGGGTGGAATAATTACTATGGAATGTTTGAAGTGACACCGTGATGGGAAAAAGACTGGATCTCTAATTGGAAGTATGTTTGAAGTAAATATTTTCATGTAATTGACAACACGGGGCCAAATTTCACGGCGCTGCTAAAACACATGCTTGTAAACGGGAACTATACATGTACTTTGTCAGCTTCCAATACCTCCAAGGGCGTCAGTCGTTTCTAAAAAGTGGGGGACATACCTTGATCAGAACTAATGCGAGTGCAAAGCGCAAAGGGCGAGGGATTCGGGGCCTGCAGCTTAAGGGCCCCAAAACCTTTTGGATTCTAGATGCTCTGAGGCGATTTCTGACCACTTTAGCACATTTGTTTTTAGCAAAGGATCATAATTTAAACATCGTTTTCGAGTTTGGAGTAACTGAATCAGCTATTCTGAGCTATTAAAATCATATGTAGGCTACACATTTTATTCGGGGACGAAAAAAAGTGGGAGGGGGGCAAACGATATGATATCCCCCACTTTAAAATTTTGGGGGACTTGTGTCCCCCCGGGTCCCCCACCGATTGACACCCATGAATACCATGGAGAGCTTATATCAACTTTCCACCCTCAAGGCCCATACCATGTTATATACAGGGTGAGTAAAAAAAAAAGGAACCCTAAGGCCAAAAAAAAAAAGTCTCCGGTTTCTGGTATGGAGCTTGCCCAAAAAGTGGTGCGGCGACGCGGCTTTTTTTTTTTTTTACATGATTTTTTTGCTTCAAATGTCGGCTGATGACTGCAAATGGTGACCGACTAAACTTAGTGCAAATATATGGGAGTCCAGAGAGGCCACATAAAGCTTATTCTCGACCATAACCCAATCTAAAAACACGTTAAAATTGTGCAGCAGCAGGATTCCAGTCAAACCAGTGAGTTTGGCGGTTTTGAGACATCATCTTTCATTGAAAAAAAAAAATAATAATTTTGCCGACGCGCATGGCTACGGCGACGCGCGCGCATACCAGAAACCGAAGACTTTTTTTTGGCCTAATGTTGCGACCATTGTTTTTGTGAAGTTCTGCATGTAGCACTTTCAAAATTTAGGATATGAAAGCCCGATTCATAAGCTTTCTTTTAGTACAAAAAACATTCAAATCACTCATGTACTTTTGAAGTAACAGAATTTTAAACACAACCACCGTTTTAAGGTTCTGTCCACGTATCACAAAAGTTCAGTGTTCTTTCAGCAAAACGAAAACAAATCACATAGGGATGTGTGTGAATTGTTTTCGTTTTGCTGAAAGACTACGCACACCTTTTTGTGATCCGTGGACAGAACTTTAAAACGGTGGTCGTGTTTAAACTTGAAAAGTACATGAGTGATTTGAATGATGCTTGTACTAAAAGAAAACTTATGAATTGGGCTTTCATGTTCTACATTTTAAAATGGCTACACGCAGAACTTCAATAAAACAATGGTCCCGACATTTGGGTTTCTTTTTTTTTTACTCGCGCTGTATACCAACATTTGTTTTGGAATATTTTCTGCAATAACAATTCCATGACAGTGGGCTGTGTTTTCTGTTTAATCTCTGGTTGGGGTAGAACAACTGCACAGCTATAGTCCGGGCTATGATGCTGTTAACAGCAAAACCTGCTGGCTTTCTATAGCACAGCTATAGTCGGGGCTATGATGCTGTTAACAGCAAAACCTGCTGGCTTTCCACAGATGATTGACAAATGTTCATGTTCTGCATTTGCTGATGTTCTATTGATTTCTTTATTTTTGTAGATCCAGGACCCTATGCAATTGAAATATTTCCATTTGCCAAACGAGGATATAGACACAACATTGTACTGCCACTTCAGTTCACCCCTCTCATCAAAATGTCAACATTGATACATTTTGTCTACAAATATTTGACATCATAATGGTCTTTGCTCGAAGACCTTCAATGGATGGAAATATGACCTCGAAAAAGCTAATTGTGAAATACAAAAACCTAGTACATAGTGTTGTAAGTGATACCCAGTACCAGCACCTACCGTTTTTGTTACTTGCAACTCCGGTACGGCAGCGAAAACGCTGGCGATCAGCGCAGTCATCAGACAGAACAGCATGACACGGATATTCCCCATAATGTTGTTCAGCACAAGTTTTTACTTCATGTCAGCAATGCACAACTGCCGGTGAAACATACTTTTTCAGGAGGGCCAAATAGGCTAATTCGACCAAACGTCTGAGTAGAACATGCATACGCCCGGGGCTAAGCTATGAACGGTACAGTTGCGAAGTCTGGCTGCGGCTGTGCATGAACCGTGAACGGAACACAAAACCGTCGAAACTGAAAAAAAAAAAAGTCGTGGTGGAAATTGCAACCCTTTCTCGACGCCGCCGCTGGGTAACAGATATGCAAATGAGGACTGGTGGACTGCTCCATGTTATCTTCATTGTGGGGGTTTTCTTTTATGGAGGGACAAACTGCGAGTCCCGTAATATTGTCATAGCGCCCTCTGTCGGCTTGAATATGTTATATTTTTACATGATATTCAAAGTTAAATCAATAATTCAAGTTTCCGGGGGAAAAAATCCCTTTTTATAAGTCTTTCGAAACGTTTTATTGCTTTGCTAAAAATTTACAACCACTAATAAAAGTGAATCAAAATAATTACAACTTAAGAATTCATCACCATAATTAAAAATAATTAAGTACATGTAATGCTTATATATATTAGAATTTATGAATTCGCATTGAATAATTGGATGTTGAAAATTCCAAGAATGAAAAACAAAGTGAAAACCTTTGACAAATATACCCAAAATCTATTCTTAAAATATATATGCCTATAACCTACCCTATACCTAAATAGTAGAGTCTAAAGTCTATCAGCCAATCAGCAGTAGATAATCACAAGATTAAAGTCATACCATCATCATAATCATGAACACTTAATCAGCACCCTGAAGGAAACTGGAAGAAAATAAATGAAAGAATTGAAATAAGAAGTCATTTCAGTATGGCAGCTACATGTAGTCAATGACTTCACTATAAGTATTAAAAATCATTCATTTGGAATAAAAGGGGACACAAGTTCATGAACATGAATATTTGTTCATCTTTTCCGATAACTCCTCAACATATATCATTTTTCCACTAGCACAAACTTCAGAACAGTTTTGAAAGCCAAATCCATAGACAAGTGTTGGAGTACTCGTACTTGTACATATTTGAAATCTGAAACATTTACTCCTTTTTATTCATATGAAACGAAGTAAACGCTTATGGTGTAGCAAAAGCTAACAGGTAAAACGTAATTATTTTCAGATTTTAGCAGATGGTTTTTAGTAAAAGCGTTTGCTTAATTTTTTTATTCATACATATGCGAGTACATGCTTAAAAATTGGTAGTAAAAGCAAATGCCATGTTTTATTTATATAAACATGGTATCATTTGTACTTTATGAACTTTGTTACCGGGTAATGTTAATTTTTCAGCATTAACATTAATAAATGCAGTAATTTTGTTGCAGATTTATGTGCTTTTATATTTTCAAGGTAACCCCAACCCAGCCTTGAAAACTAACAAGTAAATTTCTGAAATCTGAAGCATTTACTCCTTTTTATTCATATGAAACGAAGTAAACGCTTATGGTGTAGCAAAAGCTAACAGGTAAAAGTAATTATTTTCAGATTTTAGCAGATGGTTTGTAGTAAAAGCGTTTGCTTAATTTTCATTCATACAAATGCGCATAAACGATTAAAACTTGGTAGTAAAAGCAAATGCCATGTTTTATTCATACGAACATGGTATCATCTGTACTTTATGAACTTTGTGAATATAAATTTTTCGCGATTAACATTAATAAATGCGGTAATTTTTGCGCAGAATTATTTGCTTTATAATTTCAAGGTTGCCCCAACCCAGCCTATTGAAAAATGACAAGTGCATATTTGAAATATGAAGCATTTACTCCTTTTTAGTCATATGAACCAAGTAAACGCTCATACTGTAGCAAAAGCTAAAAGGTAAATAGTTATTACTTCTCATTTTAGCAAATGGTTTTTAAAAATTGGTAATAAAAGCAAATACCATGTTTATTCACACGAACATGGTATCATTTGTACTTTATGAACATTGTTAATGTTAAATTTGTCACCATTAACATTAATAAATGCAGCGCAGAATTATTTGCTTTATAGTTTCAAGGTATAAGCCCTAACCCAGCCTTGCAAGTGACGAGTGCATGCATACTATTTGAAATCTGAAGCAAAAATTACTCCCTTTTATTCATACGACTCAGAGTACTCTGTACTCCAATTTGAGGACTAGACTCCAACACTGCCATGATAGGCACCAAAAACAATGAATGTTTATGAGTGCAGTTTTGTGAGCCTGCTGTTGGCCTTGTGAAATGCACGGAGCATTCTAACTGTCACCAATGACGTTATTCTTTCCATTGCACGATTGTAAAATATCCATGATTTGTTTTATGCAACGCCTGAATACATCCTCGTCATCTGATTGCTTACTAGTGTGACTGTGCTATATGGAACTTCTTTTTACCGTGGAATGGAACTTTTAAGTGCCGTGGGTTGGGACGATCATGACTCACGATTAGGCCTGGGCGAGTAGTGGATTTTTCTACTTGAGTACTCGCAAAGAAATTACTCGTGAGTACTCAAGTACTCGCGACTGAGTAGTTAACCGAATTCCCATAAAAGCAAAAAAATGACATATACGTTGGTATGACATGAAGTAGCTTACAAGCAAATAGCGTGCAAGTCACACACCATTCTTCAGCATTGAGATAAGTTTACTGTATGACATTTTGGGCCACTTAGTTGCTTGAATTTTTTTTTTTTTTGACGAACGGAATCCTAGGGAGAGAGAGGTGGAGGGAGTGATTCCCTGTTTGCAGGGGGACGTATTAAGCCATGAACACCAAACCCTAAATTGCTACTCGCAAGTGCCTGCTTCTACTCGCACAAGGACGAGTACTCAATAGATGAAAAACCACGAGTAAAAACGAGCATAAAATACTCACGAGTACTCAAGTAATTGAGTTACTCAAGTAATTGAGTTACAGGTGATCAACGATCAACCCACTAATCAGATGACGGGGATTTATTCAGGCATTGTATAATGGTTGCCAGTTGCCTTGTTCATGCTGCTTTCCCTGTCGTTTGATTCACCTACATGTAGCTCTCAAGATCTACGAGCATGTGCAACACATTGCATTCCTGTATACAAGGTGAGTCAACAAAAGCAGAGCCCAAACCCCCAAAATTATATGTCATCTTTAAAAATACGTGTAGCACTAAAAAATAACAATGACTGGAAAGCTATTTTTCTTAAGCTACTTTTAAATGAGAAAAATTACTTAAATACAATGACCCTAAAACCTATCTCGTCCAAAAATGCAATTTCAAGAATCGTCGCCACAATTGTCTTCAAACATCACCGGTGATAAAACCGCAGTTTAAAAGTTCAAAAATATTCAAATATCCTTTTGGAGGCTCGACTTTGAAAAAAGTAGATTTTATAAATCATAATGTTTGCCTAACTAGGGTTGTTAATTAAGATATTGTGTACCACAGATACTACAGTTATAGACAGTTGTTGAAACAAGCATTCCGTGTCATTTTCTTTGTTGTTCCGAACAGTCAAAACACACAATAAATTGCTTTTTTTTTACGAGACAGGTTTGAGGGTCATTGCGTTTAAATGGTGATATTCTTTGAACGGATCGAGCAATTTCAGTATTTTTTTCATCTAAGAGTAGTTTATGAAATTGGCTCTCCAGTCATTATTATTTTTGGTGCTGCACATTTTCTTAAATATGAAATATATTGCTTGGGGTTTGGGTTCTGTTTTTTTTTACTCACCCTGTACAAGCGCCTTGATCCCAAATCAGAGGTCATTATGACAACAAAGTGCTGGCCGTTCTCAGATACTACATCTGAGTGAACTATCGAGCCTGACCTCTTTCCCCCTCTCAATTCCAAATGAATGATTTCCCAAAAAAAAAGTTTATCTTATTTCTTCTTCTTTTGCTTCTGCTCTCGCTTGACCTTAGCCTGCTGGGTCGAGATGGCCGAAGCCTTCCAGCATAGATACAAGCCGATCAGGACCACAATCGCCGGCCCGATAATGAATGGAGTGGATAGGGATAGCGATTCAAAGATGGATGGCTTGTTTAGTTCCACCAGTTCCACGGTGAAGATGAGAGTTGAGTCAGCTGCAAGGAAAACAAGAACAACGAAGACATTTTACCAGGGTGGGATTTGAACCTACGAAACCAAAAAAAGGGGGAAAAGTTGACTTAAAGCTTCAGTCCATCATTTACAGCTATCCAAAAAGTAACTGACGTAATTATTGTTGAAAAACACATGGTTGAAAGATAGTAAGGGGACTAAACTCCCTGTCAAATTATTCTTTCTGGCGAGCTGTCGGTTTGAAGAAATCAACAAACGAAAGCCTTTCCAACGGTGTGTCTAAAGATGCACCATTGGAAATTTCCATTAGTAGTTCGTTTTTTCGAGTATCAAGAAAGAGAATAAAACTCTCCTTACAATGTTGTTTGTTGCACTTCAATGGGGCATTCCGTTGACAAGTTATGGTTGTTTAAAAGTTTGCATTTATGGCATGTAAACAAGTAAAACACTGAGAAAAAGGCCTTTAAGTTTCAACTTTGTATTCGTGAAAATGAAAGATGCCAATTGTTTTTCTTCCATAAAAAACTTGTATCCCACAATTTTTATACTACTTCTATAAAACATGTGTAGTAGCCATATCAAAAGTTACAAATATCAGTCAATTTGAAAATCGGGGAAAAAAATTACTCCCTTTCAGTGTTTTTTTCTCCTCCATTTTTCCATTTTGCCAGAATGCTTCACAAATATCTTTTTGTTAAAAATGGAGTCAACATTCGTATTTTTAATATTCTTCTCATATTTCTACTTACGTGGGATACTACCCTGTGCTTGTTTACCATAGCCTAAGTGAGGAGGAATGACAAGCTTGCGATGCTCTCTGTGGATGCAAAAAATAACAATTTTTTTAATGAAATGTCTCTTTATTAATTAAGTTTGACTTTGACCAAGTGTGCGTTAGGCTTTGGACAACCCAAAATCATCTATCAATGACCAAAAAAAGGAGTAAATCTTTTCAGTCTGATCTCCTGATGACGAGAAGAGCATACTGTTAATCGAGTTAAACCAACTGGTTCTTCTCAGAACCACACAACTCACTAAGAGATATCTTTCATTCGCATGGTGTTACTGCAAACCTCCCATGCATCTTTACAGGTTTTGTACCCTAAACAGAGATCAAGGTGTTTTGTGTTCTTAGGCAAGACACTTTACACTATTATCTCTGTGGACCCATGAGGATAGAAAACAGATTGTACTGATCTGGAACTGCTGCAGAAACTGATGTCATGACTTAATGAACGAGGGTAATAATGATACCGCACTCTGAGACATTGGTTTTAAAGTGCTATACAAGCAACAACTGTTATAATTTTGGTTACCGGTACACCCCTATGTTCCGACACACCTATGTTCCGACTGCACATATTCCTATTCCTATCCCTAACCCCAGGGCAGATCCAGAACACAATTTGGGGGTGCCAAAAGAATTCCCCCAAAAAGTGGGTCAAAAAATATCACAACGTTGAGTTCCCGAATTTTTTTTAGATTCTAGATGCTCTGTGGTGCGCGATCTGAGGCAAAATCTGACCACTTTTACCCAATTTTTTTTTAGGAAAAGTTGGTGGTGTACACAATGCCTGCCTTTATTGCAACGTCACTAAAAAAATAAAATTGGAATTTTTTTTTTTGGGGGGGGGGGGGCATGGCCCCCTGTTGGCCCCCCCCCCCCTTGGATCCGCCCATGGCTAACCCCAACCCTAACCAGGAGTAACACCATTTTATGTGTTGGTTGTCGGAACATAGGGGTGTTGGAACATAGGCGTGTCGGGGGGGGGGGGGGGTTCAGAACATAGGGGTTTTCTCATAAAGTACCTTGACCTACCCCAAACACATTCCCTTGACGCCCTCCTCCCATCCTTTAATGACGTTGTTTTTGCCGAGCTGAAATCTGATTGGCTCCCGGGAGTTGTCTGGCAGCTTGGACATGTCAAACACCATCCCTGACTCTAGTTTGCCCTGTGCGGAGTAACATCAATGAAAGAAAATTACTGTTTTATACGCACATCAATACAGACTCGACTATTAAAAACATGTGTGACTACTTGTCAAGAAAAGAATGCACAATATCGTGCTGTCCAGTTGTTGATTTTGAGAATACTAAACATTCGCTTTGTATCAATTCAATTAACGACTTTGATTAAGATTAGAAAACCAAGTTACTCAGAACTGGGACTTGGACTCAAATCAAGAATGAGGAGTTAGCGCTCTAGTAATTGACTATAGCTCTATGGTTTTTCCCACATCGGTGTGAAACACGCAGTGGGCTTGAGCTACTAATTATGTTGGTTAGTTGGTTGGTGGGGGGGGGGTGGTTGGTTGGCTGGTGGACACTTTACTCGGAGTGCATATACTGTGTATTACTCGGAGTGTATCACAGCTTTGCCAGTGAGTTTCTATGGAATACCTATATAGCTTTGTGACACTGATGCGCATGCATCTAATTTGCATATTAGATCACGCCCCATTGCATTGCAAAATTCGCGGTAGTACTGTTTGTAGAACTGCCGTGGGTTGTACCACTTGGTACTTGTTACTTTTTTAAAGGCTATTAATATGCATACCCATTTAAACGTAAAAATGTGGCTTTTGAGTGTAGGTTTTGCCTTTCTTTGAGAACTCGTCTCAAAACCTAAGACAATAGACTGGCACATGAAACAACTAGTCCAACACCCCTTTATGGTACTGCATTAATCAACTGTGTCAAAAGAAACATCTGGTACCAGTCTATGTTGTACACACCTCTCCATAGTCTGCCACCAGACTACCGAGGAGTAAAGCTTTTCAAACAGTTGGATATGTACCATTCTAGTCTAAGGCTTCAAAATGAAATCATTTGGTTTCACTCTCAGATGCAAATATTAAGGAAAAAGTCTCCTTTAAGGAAACATGCATTGTCAGCCTGGTTATTACTTGGGTCAATAGTGGTCAAGACCCCATTGGTTTGTACACAGTATGCCAGGAGGTGAGATACAAACATTTTGACCATTGGTGACCTCTTAAATAGTAGGAGGGTTAAAAATTGAATTGAGACTTCAAAACTTGGCTGGTAAAACTCTGAGGACCTTGTCTTTGCCTAATGAAAATTTGGAGAATTTTGTCGGCTAAAGAGTGGGTATAAAAGTTGGCCTGATTTAGTTTTGCGTGTTTTTCTGCACTCAAGGTCCAGGCTGATCTTGGCTTAGACGTTGGGATGTTCTGTTCATAACCAGTGTTTCATTCTATACAAATGCTCAACAGAAACGTTTTCTCTACTCCATAAGAAAAAAATCAAGTGGAGATTCTATTTTGCACTTCTGTCATTTACTCACTACATAGTGCACCGCCACTTCGTCGCCTACTTCAGCTTTCGCGGAACACTCTTCTGGTAAATGCTGTCAAAAGAGAAATGCAAAAAATTGGAAAGATTTTTAAATAGACCTAACATTCAGTAAGATTTGAGGCTTTGCATGGTGGAGATACTAAATAAAGAAAGGTTTGCGGAAACACCATGTGCGAATAATTTCTCAACTAGGAGAATGGTTCTGAAAAGAACCAGAGGTATAAACTCGACGTTCCGGTCAGTGTGCTCTGACCGTCTTCAGGAGAGACCGTCTCTCCTGAGGACGGTCAGAGCATACTGACAGGAACGTCGAGTTTATACCTCTGGTTCTTTTCAGAACCATTCTCCTAGTTGAGAAATTATTCGCACATGGTGTTTCCGCAAACCTTTCATTATTTAGACCTAACATTAAAACCATTCTGGAAATGGAATGAAAAATATAATATGATTAAAACCATTCTGGAAATGGAATGAAAAATATAATATGATAAAACGGGTAATATTGAATTACACAACTTCTATTAATTATCTCCCAATATTTACTATTTGACAAAGTACACTGGCAATTTAAGATTAAAAAACTACAAACTTAAAAAAAAATGTAAATACATAAAAACAGAACTTCAACTTTTTGGAACAGCGACCTTTATCGTAGTATTGATAATGATATCACAACAACATCGTGTATATGGTGTATCACACCGAGTATTATGCACAATATTTAATCAATGTTAAACAACAGCTGGAAAATGTACCACGCTCAGTTGCATGGCAGTGGCCATTTTGGTTATCATACCACAGTTACAATTATTCTTTACAAGACAAGTATAAGTTGTCCAATTTTGAACAGCTGTCCTCTGACAATGTGGTTTGGTTTCGGCGGTGGTCGACTATTTTCATTAATTTGGTGCATATTAATTTATGTATTAGCAAATTTATATCCTTGACATAAAATTATTAATGGCCACTATTGGCCACTGCTTTGCAATAAAGAATATGTACTAAAATGTTGCAAAATTTGTCGGACATTTGTCCTTCTTTCAATTAAAATGGCTGAGATGAAGAAAATATTAAGAATTATTATTAGCTCTAGAACTAGACCAAGCTGGAGTTACCCAGCCCTAAATTTTATCATTGGGTTGTCATTTAAATGACAACCCAATGATAAAATTTAGGACTGGGTAACTCCAGCTAGAACTAGACCCAGTAACTGGGGCGCAATAACTCCTTCTATCAAATTTGTGGATTTTGTCTGTAGTACTGGCTAGCTATATGCTAGTACGACCGACCAAAGACAAAATTCGAAAAAATGAGTTCTAGCGCCCCAGTCACTGGGTCTAGATCTGAATTAGCTCATAATTTGGAAAGAATGATGCATCCTGCCGCCACTTTTTTAAGTTATATATTATCTCAATGAAGGTCAGTCATTGCAAAAATGTTAAAAAGACATGAGTCTGGGACTGAGAAACATTTATAATTTTGTTAGAAAATACTTTGAAAATGCACTCGACTCTCCATAGACCTTGTACACATCCAAAGAAGTAGCGTTAGGATTAGCTGGAGTTACCCAGCCCTGAGTTTTATCATTGGGTTGTCATAAATGACAACCCAATGATAAAACTCAGGGCTGGGTAACTCCAGCTACGTTAGGATACTACATTCTTTCCCGTATTTTTTTCATTTCAGTCTTACTCTTAGTGCAAATTATTTAGTTTTCATGGAAATTCTTTCACTGAAACGCTAATTTCAAATGAAAACAGAATGCTTGTAAAAAAAATAGTATTTGTGAACACACTTTTGATGCATTTACCGATGAAATTTGATGAACAAGTGATGTGGACATAACACACAAGTACACGGGATATGTAGCAAATGATCATCATCGATCATATTTAGTAATCAATATCTTTACCATTAAAATAAATTACGGATATATGAAAGAAGCAAAATATGAAACCAAATATTTACCAAAGTTACGATCTCCAGCATTCCTTTCTTCTTTGCATTGACGAATGCACCGCATACTACAGCAAGAAGTACAAATGCCAAAAACCTTCCCATCGTGTTTACTGAGAAATTCAGGGAATAATTGCACCTTATGAGTTACACTACAGACGTTGGTGAACTACACCGCTCATTGATGCGTGCATAATAACTCCCCACATAGCGCAGTCCCAATGCACCACACGTGTTCCGTGTGTTTATGTATTTTACGACGGGCATTTAAATGACCTTTGACCGGCGTATTGCGTCATCTCATTAGCATGTACAACGGAATCATTCGCTCAGTAATGTTATTTTAAAAGTCTTTAACGAATGCCGTACGTATGTACTCGCAAAATTGAATTTATAACATCTGGAGTAGTCGTTATTTCCAAGTAAAATGTTAACTTGATTAATTGACCTACTTACTACTGTACTTTACACTTTATATATTATAAACTCTCTCCCTACATCAAGCGCCGAAATAGCTCAGTTGGGAGAGCGTCAGACTGAAGATCTGAAGGTCCCTGGTTCAAAACCCCCGGAGGACTCGCATGAGTTCTGAATTGTCCCGGGTTTCGGCAATCAGTTTTTTTCCCCTTAGAATTCCTAACAAACACCAGCTGAAGATTCATTATTTACTAATTCTTAAGAAAATACTTTTCTTTCCGCTTTTATTAATTAAGAAATATAACATGCTATTATTAATTAAGAAATATAACATCAAAAGTGACATCTTTTCTGTGCATATGCATTCATGTTTCCTTCATGTACTGCATGCACAAGGGCGGATCCAGAAGACAATTTTTGGGGGGCCAAAAAAAAATTTTGGTCCCCCCAAAAAGTGGGTCAAAAAATTACGGCGTGGGGTTCGGGGCCCGCTTAAGGGCCCGGAATTTTTTTGGGGGGGTTCTAGATGCTCTGTGGTGCGATCTGAGGCAATTTCTGACCACTTTAACCAATGTTTTTTTGAGGTTTCGTTTTTTTTGGGGGGGGGGGCGGGGCCATGGCCCCCTTTGGCCCTCCCCCCCTGGATTCGCCCTTGGTACTGCAAAATGTATTGTATCGTGAAAAACAAAATAAGAGTTTAAAGTTATATCAATTTCGAAAATAGTAAATTATAGAAATTTCGAAATTATTGTAATCAATCATTAGCATATGGGTTGCACATCTGTGCAGGAAAGAGCGGGTGCATGGGGCACGTCAGAAAATATTAAAACTAAAGAATCAGTGAGGTTGAGGAACATGACTTATTATTATTTTGTAGAAGTTGATAATCAAGATAAAAGTTTGTCAAAAAAAAAAAATTGATATCGCCCCCTGCATTCATTCTTAATTCCTCAGCATCGGCTGGTGAATTATGAACGACAGGTGAATGCACCTTAATTTGAGAATACCGCCCTCTATCAGTAATTTTCCTCCTCATCGCCAAGTGCGGTACCTTTTACATTTGTGCCACATCCCGATCTTTGACAACCACCACGATATTGGCACCAGGCTTAAATATTATAACAGTGTAGGGGTGCCCCTCCTATTACGAGATTCTCTTAAAAGTATTTTGTATTAAAGAATGTTGGCTTATTCTTTGACGTATATCAATATGTAGCAAAGATCTTAGTTCCAGCAAGTTATTCTGATGTTATCATAACATTGTAAATAACATTGGAAATAAAAAAAAGTGTGAAAGAGATAAGTAGTGTGTTCCCCAGTCCATTCATTAAAAATCTCGTCTGCTAGGTTTCGTCTCGATCTCGCGCGCTAGCGCTAGCACAGCACGGAAATTTGATGCCAGCTCGCTGAAAAACTCCATCGTCAAGAGGAATTTAGTAATTGTCCGAATCCCAAGAAAAAGGACCCCAAATGAATTTCCCGGAACTGTCAGTCACTTCAAAGTGCCAAACCACATGCTGCGAGGGATATTCAGGTAAGGTGTCAACTTCTTCAGTTGTTACAGATAGTTTTTAAACGGGAATTTCAACTCTTGTTTCCTACTCGACTGCGACTGTCAACGCCAGCTCTGCACCGTCATTTACTCCACACGGAGCGCCGGCGGTGCACAGTACTTCCGTATTACAAAACCGTGTGTGGTTAAACCATAGCAACTGAGTGATTCGTGCAGACTGCCTCACACTCACACTTGCACTCACAGTATCGTTGAATTTTGCCAGGAGTTTGCAAGTATTTCATAATATTGAATTCTTTTTTTTTCATCATTTTTTATTTTTTGGGGTCCAGATTATGACGTTATAATGAGAACACAGAACAGATGCCGGAAAAAAAGGTTGCAACCAGACGCCACTTCCCGAGCGCAATTGCGTGCAAAGTCTATAGCATGTAAAAGTATGGAGAGTCAAGAAAATTTTCTTAGTTCTAAACAAAATTGGAAATGTTTCTCAGTCCCAGATTCATGTATCATCATTTTTGCAATGAATGACCTTCATTGAGATGATGTATGAAGAAAAAAGTGGCGTCAGGTTGCAACATTTTTTTTCCCCAGATGTCAGATGAATGATCCCTTGTCATGCTTGTTTTGTCACAGTTGTGTGCTTTCTTTTGCAGTTTTTGTAATGCAAGTCGCACGTCATGAGGACATGAACAACTTGAACATTGACACGACATCGTTAATGTTTAATATGTCATTGCAGCATGTTTTTTTATAGCCCCACTAGTACGGTATTGCTGCATGCTGTACCTATTAAAACTAGTGCAGCAATACCGTTGCCACAGCGTAGCAATACCATTGCCACACTAGTGGGGGCTGAATGTTACTAAGTAGAACTATTTTTATGGATTTTTTCTGATTTTTTTTTCAGATATGTCTAAACTTCTTATTTTTCTTCTTCAATTTCTACTCCAGATCTCCATGAATGATCACTTGTGCGCTGTCTTTACGTCTTGCAAGTCGCACCAGGAGCCTAACGGAGTGGAATACAGACAGGCGAAGCCCCGCCCCCACGGACGCAACCAGCCCGAGTCGGCCGGTGCCCCAACAACCATTGCTGAGAAACCACAATCCTGGCAGCCCGTCGCGGCTGCCGATATGGCCACCACTGCGGCGGGGCTGTTCGGACACCAGGTGGACCTGAACCCGGGGAAAAATAACCGGTCCAAGTCCAAGCACTGCGGCCACTCCTTGTACAAAAAGAATTTTCACCGCCCGACCTTTTGCCACCATTGCACGGATATGCTGTGGGGCCTGTTCGGACAGGGATATATCTGTGAAGGTGAGAACTACATGTAGCTGCATTGTGTAGGCCTATGTGTTAAATGTATTTTCAGTTTGTTGAGTTTCGTGACTTCTGACTTTGTACACCCTTGACAATGCAGACGCTGACAAATTGGGATGCTGGTGACTTTCTGTTGACTTGTTCACACAGTTTTAGGACAAGTCACGGTTCAGTATCCAAACGGGCAGAGGTTCGAACCCGATTACACCCTATGTTCCGAATCTCCTGTGTTCCGATACCCCTATGTTCGGACTGCACATATACATGTATTCCTATCCGAAACCCTAACCCTAACCCTAACAGGGAGTAACACATTTTTATATGTGCGTTGTCGGAACATACATGTAGGGGTGTTGGAATATAGAGCAGTCACCTTCGAACCCAACTAAAAGTACATGTAGTTTTCTTAGTTTTACACACAAAAAAGATGATTGGTTTAGAGGGAATTTGGGGAACTAGTCTGGTTTCCAAAGGTATATTAGGAATAGTTGGTCTGAAATTTGTTGCCTGACCAAAGGACCAGTCTACTAGCTCAAAATGAAATTTTCATTAATTTTCATTAATTTTAGTTCAATTAAGAGAATTTCAAACTTTGATATAATGATTTCCGTCGAGGTAAGAATACTTTTCCTGGTTCGGCTTCAAAATCACAATGAAATCTTGACACTGACATGACGGAGGTGAAATTTATTAATAACACCCACTTTTGTAGCCTGTTTTACACACAAAATCTTGACAAAAGCCTTCAGCTTTTAATTTGTTCCAAAAGAGTACCATGTATTTATTATACAATTTTGAACAAGACTTGAAATTTTTCTCCAATTTTGTTTTTCTCATTTCCTGAGTCCTGACCTTTCACAGTGAAGTCTCAAAAGTGAAATTCCTTTCTTTATTAATCTCTTAAGCAGTGAAACCTCTGACTACAAATAAATTCTGTCAGAATTTGGAGTGATTAGCCGTTTATTTTGCTCTTCTCTTGCGGGGCACATCAGTACAAAGTCCACGACTCCACGTCAGTCTGATATGACACACCAGACAGTCCGATTAAAAAAAAAAAAATAGTCAATAACGCATAACAGAAAGTTTGTTTACCTATTCAGAAAAAAAAAAAATTCAATATTTTTTTTCAGGCTTTCATTGACGACTGACACTTTGACATTGACAAAATACAGCTTGGAAAATCAATCGGTTGGCAGATGACGTACATTGCTTTTGTTAAAACAGCTTTGTTTGAGATCTGTCTTTTGTGTTTGTGTTATTGTAATTGATGGGTTCATGTCTGTGCATGTATGAGTAGTTTTTTTTGTGGAAGAATTATACGAATGTACTCGTCAGATTGGCATGAGGTCACGGTATGACCTGGCATATTGTATTTATCGGATCAATAAAGTTGTATTTTAGGTAGCCAAAATTACATGTGCGTATGATATTGAATAGATATGTGTACAATGTACATTTGTACCTGTGCGTGCATTATTTACTGGTTTATATAGTATTGCAGAGGGTAAAAATGCAAGTACATGTGTTTGTCTATATTAAAGGGAATATACATCATTTGCTTTTGCTGTAATTTTCAGAAATGGATGGAATTGGGGGGTTGGAAATATAAAGCAAATATAGTTACACTGACTTTTTGGAGGTTTTGGGTTCGAAAATGCTATAAAAACCAAGAAAAATGATCATATTCCTGTAGTCTGGTTCCCTGACTCCATATAAGAAGAAACACAGCAGTTTACATACATTGGGGAATTGTAAGGTCAGGGAACCAGTCTAGCTGGCTCGTACCCGTTCATAGGTTTGTAATCGATTGCAAACAAGTGCAATGGTCAATTGGGGCCAGTATTTGAAAAAAAGCCAGTTGTTTCCAACGCTGATCGGCCGATCAGCGTTGGAAATTGATACAAAAATACCACTTTTCTTGAAAATGACAGTATACCAGGTGCCATAATTTTACAGAATGCTTTAGACTGTCATTTACCAACATCCTATTAAGGTATTTCGCAAAAACTTTGTAGTTTTATTTTTCGATGTTTGCAAATGTTGTATATTCCCTTTAAATATTCACGGACCATTAACTGTGTTTGTCTGAATAAATTTAACTCCCTGTTTTGATTGCGCTGGGTTCATTTTATGCACTTACAAAAATATCAGCTGTTTTGTGTTTAATTTGGCCATCGGGTAGTTTATAAACTTACGGTATGTTTTAGTAATTGCACATATCTACATTTGTATACGTATGTTGCATTCTAAGGTGCACATCGCATGCAGTATAATGGAACGGCCCAATTGGGCTGCAAAACGCGCTTTGAACGAAATGATTTTATTCGGAAATAACAATTAAAAGTAGGATATAAACATCCACACAATTATCCTTTCAAAACTGGGCGTTTTTGTGTAATTCCTGTATTATGCGTGCGAGAGTGAATTTCGGGGTCCACTTTTGCGACCCCATAAATTCGAGCTGTTTGGATGCTAGTTGTGATTTCATTCGTGAAGTGTTCGTCTTTTGCGGACGTTGAAGAAACCAGTATTTTTGCATTGGTGATTGGTCACCGCTGTTCCCGAGACACACAACGTGTATTTCGTACACTGAGAACGAAACGAAAAACACATTCGTGCTGCGTTTTGTCTGATGTAAACAAGCGGGTTTTTCCCCGTCTTTTCTCGGGATCTGTAAGACATTAGGTTGGTTTCCTTTCAACCAGATGTTTGAAATAGGCTAAGAAAACATGAAATTTTCCAGGATTTCAGGACCTTGTGCCCCTTTAATGGACATTCACTCTCATACATGTATTTCAGCTTGTCAGTTCAAACTTGTATGCATTTCCCTGAGACAAGTGATCTTCTGTATGCCGGGTGTTATGTATTAACCCTAACCCCTTGGGTATTTTTAGTAGAAAGTATCCTGAATCCGCCAAAATCCATCAATTTTGTCATGCACAAAAATGTTGGTGGCCAGTGAGTCCATCAGAATCCACCAGTTATCCGGGAGTAAATCAGTTGAGATCCTGAATCCAACAAAGTCCCACAACCTCAAGCTCAAATATGGAGGTATCCTGAATCCATCAAAATCCTGCAGTAACGCTAGGCTTACTGTCCTGAATCCATCAAAATCCCCCGACTTTTTCAATATGGAGGTATCCTGAATCCGCCAAAATCCTCCAAAACAGGGGTGTGGATTTTGATGGATTTACTATGTATGTACATGTATGTAGGTATCAGATAAATTTGTATTTAAAGTCGTATCTCATTTGCAAACACTCAAGCTACACAGTTGTACAATGTATATATGTACAGGTTTTTAACACATGCATTGTCAAGATAACTACTAGATGTTCAATTAAAATAAAGACATGTTTCTTATCATTATCACTGATTATACATGTACATGTGTGTACACACATGAGTCCAGTATCCTAGCAACTACCGGGTACCAACTACTGGGATATCGGAAACAAGTACATGTACATGTATGTACACAATGTACACGTGTAGTGGTTGATGTGGTACATAATGAGACTTGTCAACACGTACATGTACAACATGTATTTGACAACAAATTCCCGGTTAAGTGTTAAATTTTGTAATTGGTGAATGTGAAACCGCAATATATATGTGTATGTATGTAAGCAAACCCTCCCTAACCCCTTAGACCCTTTTTGCTACGGTACATGTACATGATGTACATGTAGGAACCATCCTCAATTCTCCAAAATCCTCCAACTGCCTCATTCCGTCAAAATCTTCCAACAGCCCTGCCTCTGAAAATGCATTCAGCCTCATTCCTCCAAAATCGTCCTCTTCTTCAAACACCATTCATCCTCATCCTCCAAAATCAACCGATACTGAATACATGTACCGGTACATGTCCATACCCTCCAAAATTGCCTTCGTCCTCAATCCTCCAAAATCTTCCAAAACTGCCCTGAGGACTTTGGAGGAGTGAGGAGGGTTAGGGTTTTAAGGCGGAGTTGTTGGGCAATTGTGTGTATCGCTTGGAAATGCAGGAGTAAATCTCCTGCGCATTTATTGTCAATAAAAACAACAAAGAACACTCTCTGGGATACCTGCAACGCATAAGCTGTGACACCCCACCCCCCCCCCCCCCCCAGCCAAAGTTGGATCCGCCCCTGCTATCTTGCACATTATGTATTGAACGCTGCTGTTGAATTAAATACACGTTCGCACACTTGCACTATTCTTAGTACCCCACTGTACAGTTCGGATTCTTTAATCATCTGTCATCGCCTCGGACAAATTTTTCGAGAGCTCTCTAAAAAGGAAACAAGATGACAAAAAAAGTTCTTCAATTGAAAGCTACTCCTCACCAAAACAACATTTCCAGGAACTGCAAATCAAGTCAAGCATCGGGAGAAGTGGATATGGGGGATTGGAGGGAGAAAAAAATTCCGCTCCTTCTGGGGCCTAGCAGAGGCGTCGCAATCAATGAATACAATCCAAGATGTTAGAGGGAAGAAAAAAAAAGTGGAGAGAGCAGTGAATTATTCGTCGGAGACTGCTTAGCGGCTCACAGTGATAGATTTAGATTGTCAAACACCTAAGGGTAAATTGCTATTTTGGGTGTGTATTTTTCTAATTCTGTTTACTGTTGTTGCATTAAATATCGGTTTAATTTAATGGGTTTGATTTTATGGAAATACCAGTGCATGTAGTTGATGTTAGGACGCTTAATGTACATGATGATGCCATGTCATTTGAATTCTGAGAATGCGTATCTTGACAACATGTACAATGTAGACATGTATCTCATCATTGTAATTTCTCAGAATTTACCCCGGCACCTATGAAAAGGTCCAATAATTTTAAAATGCCTTGTAAAAAATGTCGCAAAATAAATAAAACACGTACAAAATGTATTGGTCGGCATTGTGGGGTGCTGTGGTCCAATCGTTGTGATGTTCAACTCATGTGCTGTGGTACAAATGTACATGTACGTGGGTTCGAACCCTGACGGGGAACATGGTGCTTGTGCTCTT